ACCGAACTCAGGTCCTTGCACTTGTGCAGCAGGTGATGAAACCACTGAGCTAAATCCCTGGCCCAATATATAGTATTTTATCATATAGACATACCATCGTGAAAGCAAAACCCTGAGACTTACTTAAGTTGAAATTTATGTGTGTTTAATCTTTTTTTTTTTTTTTTGGTACCAGGAACCGAACTCAGGTCTTTCTGGCCCTGTCAGGCATTTTTAACTGGAATTTAATTTGGATTCCCACCTTTGTACTTATGCTTAACTTGTTACATGTCGAACAGCCCCTATAACATTGAATTTGCAAAGTTCCTTGGACAGGACAGATTAAACTTCAGGTAAAGAGGAAGAGAGGGTTTAGTGTTGGGTGTGTTGGGCTATTTTAATGTGAGCTGTGGGTGTATTAATCTATAACGCAGCCTAGAAAAGGCCACATTTGGAAGTTTCTGTCGTCTTTACAATCTTTGTCCACTGTTTGGGACTGTGAGAAATGAGAGATTGAGTTTGCTTATTAGCAGTAAACAGTGGTTGTTGGCAAACCTGAATGTTCGGTCTTTTTCTTTTTGGTGCTGGGGGTTGAAACCCAGGGCTTCTTGCATGCTAGGCATGTGCTGTGCAACTGAGTATACCCCCAGCCCACCTGAGGTCCTTTTAACCTGAAGAAACAACACCGGCTTTACACAAATGGGCTTGGTGGAAGGAATGAGAAATACAAGACGCTTCAGTTTCTACCAGGTGTGGCACTTAGGACAAGTCAAGTCATCTTCCTGAGGTTTAGTACCCCCATGTCTAAAAATGGGTGTTGGTAATGATGATCCGGGCAAGTGTGCTGTGTATTCTCACCAGGTTGTAAGGAGTGAGCAAGATAATGGAACGGAATGGGCTTGATGAAAGTCCATGGCTCTTGGTAACTATAAGTGCCACATCTGTGTTTCGGCTGAGGAACCTCCCAAGTTTGCAGAGTAACCAGTGGATATTTATTTGTGGGCCACACGCAGAAAGTCCACAGAAGTACCAGCTTCTTCCTGCTTGTCCTCCCCGCACTGGAGCCTCAGCTTACCCTTACTGAAGGCCTCGCGGTAACCTACTGACCTCTCTGTTCCAGCAAATTAGAAGGGAATAGTTATTTATACCAGCAAGAAGTTTTATACCTGATAGCTGGACAGTGAAGAAGATATGGTATAGCAAGACCAATAATGACTTACAGAGTGTAACTCTTTAAGGTCACTTTATAGGTTCACATAATCCTTTATAAAAGCCTTAAGTAGTTCCTGAGAATATCAACAAGTTTGTAAGTAAGTAACTTAGTCATCACCGAACACCAAATTATTATCAGTTTAAAAAGGAAATGTTTTGTTTTGTCTCTAGTCAGAATTGTCTAAATAAAAACCCCAGGTGCTTTGAATAACACTCAAGTGATTTGAAACTGCACATATTTGAATGTCTTCTCCAAAGCTGCTGAGTAACCAATGAGTTTAGGGAGGTAAAAGCTCCATATGGAGAACTCAGGCTCGGGCAGCTTATAAAGGAAAAGTGCTAGCCAACTGGTGCATACAGCAAGGACTGGTGCCATTCAGAAAAGAGAAAAGGCACTCAAGGCTGGGCTGGACTGGCCTGTTTTGGAAGGTCCTATTTAGAAAGGGTGGTGAGAGAGGGATGTTCAGGAGCCTCAGCCTGGGGACTTTTACCGGTGCCATCAGAGAAGTTGAAATAATCTGAAGCTCCCTAGTTCCCCACCAAGTACTTTACTGAGTCCCGGATTCATAGCATAGAATCACAGTGAGAGGCCTGATTCTCAGTAGCTAGGGTACCACAGGCAACAGGTGAGCAAGACATGCCTTGTAGTGTCAGGGCATGTGACACAGACAGTATTCTCAGAGCTTTAGAAAGAGGGCTAACTTGACATTTTAGGAGCATTTCTGCTTATGTAGAAATCCACATGAGTATCTTGGAATTGTGAAACTCGCTTCTACAAATGGCCATATTGGCTCCTTCCTCTTCAGTCAGGCACCATGTGTATGCAGCT